ATATATATATTGATTTGAATTTAATCAAACAAATTATCAAATAGTTTTCAAATTTTTTAAAAATTTGTAAATTTGATCTATGCATTAAAAAAATTTAATTCAATGATTGAATTGTTGAAATTTGATATAGAATACGAACTATTGAATGGATTAACTCTAAGTAGATTTACTCTTGAAGTGGATCACTCCTCTCTCTCTATATATATATATGTGTGTTTGTGTGTGTGTGTATATATATACATGTATATATGAAGAGGGTTATAATAACACACGTGTAACTTTTACTAAGTATTACACCGCTCAATAACTTTATATTAAATGTGAATTTTGTAAATCAAACCGTTAAATTGAAAGTTCTTTACTCTTAGATCATATATACAAAATTTTATATTAATCCAAGATGATTTGATACTTCATTTTTATAAAACAAAATTGACGTAATATATTGATTTTAAAATATACTAAAATATGAACACTTTGATTACCTTCAAGTTTTTGTTCAATTTTAACAAAATTTGATATACACATATAAAGTGGGTTCAAACGACACCGGTGTAACTTTTACTAAGTGTTACACCGCTTAATAACTTTATATTAAATGTGAATTTTGAAAATCCAACCGTTAGATTGAAAGTTCATATCTCTTAGATCATACATGTCAAATTTTATATTAATCTAAGATGATTTGATACTTAATTCTCATAAAATAAAATTGACATAATATAGACATTTCAAAATATACTAAAATATGAACGCTTTGATTACCTTCAAGTTGTTGTTCAATTTTAACAAAATTTGACATATATGATCTAAGAGATATGAACTTTCAATCTAACGGTTGGATTTTTAAAATTTACATTCAATATAAAGTTATTGAGCGGTGTAACACTTAGTAAAAGTTATACCAGTATCGTTTGAACCCTCCTATATATATATATATATAAATTGCTAACATACTCTCACCTTAATTTAAGTTGGAGTACATTACCAACTTACACTAAAATTTTTGGACCGAAAATCCAATCAACTTTTTTTCTTTAATAAACTTATTTGAAGGATATTTTAGTAATTTATTATTTATTCATTTTTAAATAATAAAAAACTCATTTACCAACTCACTCTCTTTCTTCCTCCATCCATTTATCTATCTTCTCTCATTTTTTAGAATGATTGTTCTTCTTCCATTGATGTAGAGGTGAAAGAATGAGTTGACATGAGAGAGAAATGGGTGAATCAAAGAGGAGAGAGAGAATGAGTTGACACAAGAGAGAAATGAGTGAGTCATGGAGAGGAGAAAGAATGAGTTGACCGGAGAGAGAAATGAGTGAATGAAGAGGAGAGAGAATGAGCTAGCACAAGAGAGAAATGAGTGAGTCATGGAGAGGAGAGAGAGAAAGAGTGGGTAAGAGAGAGAAATGAATTATATTTTTTAAAAAGAAATAAGTGATAAATTATTATAGCATCCCTCAATTAAGTTTATTAAAATAAAAGAGTTGATTGATTTTTTGGTCCAAAACTTTTGGTATAGGTGTCTAATATACTTCAACTAAAATGAAGGTGGGAGTATGTTAACAATTCCCTATATATATGTATAAAGGAGGGATTTATTTACTTTAAGAGTAAGTCTTAGTAGACTTACTCCACTTAAAAAGTTGTGTTCTACATCAAATTTGAATAATCTAATTGTTGAATTAAAATTTTTTAATGCATAGATCAAGTCTACAAACTTTTAAAACATAGAAAACAATTTGATACTTTGTTTCATCAATTCAAATCAACAATAAAATATTTCTATAATTATCCGTCAATTTGAATTCATGAAATAAAGTATCTAATTGTTTTCAAATTTTTTAAAAATTTTCAAACTTAATCTATACATTAAAAACTTTTAATTTAACAGTTAAATTTTTAAAATTAAATGTAAAACATAAGTTATTGAGTAAAATAAGTTTAAATAGACTTACTTTTAGAGTAAGTAAATCCTTGTTCGTATATATTTATGTGTGTGCGTGTGTGTTGAATTTGGTCATTCAGAAAAATTATTAAATAATTCAAGAATATTATAATTATTACTAAGCTTTTACATTATATGTAACTCAACATTATTAATTCTATCTAATATATTTGAGAAAGCTTAATTTTCACATGACATGTAATTGAATATTATTTTTTTTCTTATAAATTGAAAATTTTGAATGCATATCACGTAGAAATTGGTCAAGACATTAAACACGTATTGGCTTTACATTATCAAATAATTTCTCGATCATTATCAGACATCTTTCATGTAGAGATTGATCAAGACACTAAACACGTGTTGACTTTACATTATCGAATAATTTATCGATCATTATCATACATCTTTTGAGATAACTAATACTACTAGAATTTCTCTTATTATATGCGACTTTTCCTGTGAATTTTTCATAAAAATTCGTAGGAAATGTTGTTCCTACAAATTTTTCTGCGAAATTTTATCTGCAGGTAATATTTTTGTGGATAATATATTTTTGCAAATTTTAAAATTCGCAGGAAATTTTTTTGAGAAATTTCTTGCAAAAAAAATTGCAGGAAAGTTTTCTGCAAAAAAAAAAATTGCAAGAAAATTCATAGGAAAATTTCCTGCGAATTTTTTCGCAAGAAATTCTGTAGGAATATCTTTTACGAAAAAAATTAAAGAAATTACTATAAATTCTATCAATAATTTTTCACTTTCAAATGCTCACAATAAATTCATCCAAAACATTTGTTTTCATGCCTCCAACATGTGATACAATCTTTTAAATTCTAAGATTGTAGATTATAAGTCTAACACTCAACCATACAAATCAACTTGTAAGGTAAGTGTTGCCCCAACTTATATACTCTTTAATTGTTTTTTTTAATCGATGTGGAACTTGAAGTTTTTTTTAAATATTAAACTTATAAATTTAAATATTTTTATTTTTTTCCTTTGGATTAAAATTTGCAGAAAAATCCGCAGGAAAAGTTATCTGCAAAATTTTTCTACCATTTAGTAAACATTACTTGCGAATTTATTTTTGCAAGAAAATCTGCAAGAAACAAAATAAAATTCTTACAATATTTTTTGCAAATTTTTACCATGGAAAAAAATTTCTATGATTATTAAAATTGTAGCAAAATTTGTAAGAAATATTTGTAAATTATTTTTCGCAAAAAATTTCTGCGAATATTTTTTTCAGGAAAATTCACAAAAAAATTCTACAAATATTTTTTTGCAAGAAAATGACATTTTTTTAGTAGTGTAACTTTTTGGTTAATCATTTTTGGAACTCAGATATACTAAGCAGCATTTTAGATGGAAATGGTGAAATGATAATGAGGAAAAGCTCATGTGCTAGCCAAGCTAAAGATGTTATGGAGCTTCTTGAGGCCACGCATTTGGGCTTAGAAGGAGAAAAAATCTTGGGTGAGGTCAAAAGTTGTGCAATAAATTTTCTCAAGAAGGTTTGCTCTCCTAGTTCCATCAACATCAACAAACTCTCTAATCCAAGTGTTGAAAGGATGGTCCATGCATTGGAGCTTCCATCCCATTGGAGGGTACCATGGTTTGAGGTTAAATGGCACGTCAAGCAATACGAAAAGGAGATACAAATTGACCCTATATTACTTGAATTGGCTAAACTAAATTTCAACATGATTCAGGCCAAACATCAAATGGAGATCAAGGAACTATCTAGGTATATATTTTGAACCACCAAAAAAATTATGGCGAAAAATTATAAGGTTACTAATTAAATATTAATTAGATTTTTAATTTATTTTGTCATTTAGGTGGTGGGAGAACCTTGGCATAAAAGAAAGCTTGAGCTTTGCAAGAAATAGATTGGTTGAAAGCTTCATGTGTGCAATAGGAGTTGCTTTTGAGACTAATTATAAATTAGTCAGGAAATGGCTCACTAAAGTGGTTATTTTTGTACTAGTGATCGATGATGTTTATGATATACATGCCTCATTTGAAGAGTTGAAGTTGTTCACAATGGCATTTGAGAGGTTTGTTTATTTCCAATTTAGAGCAAGATTCCTAATACATACATATATGTGCACACACATATATAAATAAATAGATAGATAGATAGGTAAAGAGAGACGGAGAGAGAGGAAGGGAGGGAGAGAGAGTAAGGGATGGAGGGATGAGGGATCCACTTAATTTAAAAGTAATTCTTGATAGACTTACTCCATCCAATAATTCATATTCTTATTGCATGCGAAAAGTGCTTAAGATAAGCATACCTTATCCTAGTACTAACAATGGACAAAGTCCAGATATCAAACCTAAAAAGTTAAGTTTAAGTAATTACCAACTTAATCGTGACTTTTAGTAGGTTGAATAAACTGAGATTAATTCAGAGAGAGTATTAATTTATAAATTACAAACAAGACTAGAAAGTTGTTATTAAAATATAGAGATTAAAGTCCTAGAGTTGTGACTTATTATTCCTAATCTCCCGAAGATAAAATTCATGAATTAACGAGTAATATCATCAATTATACTTATGAAATTGTTAAGAATCCTATGGTTTCAAGAAGTTAATAGTCTTTATCTTAAGAAAAATTCAAATTGATCGATAAAGTTTTATTCTAAAAATAAAGCTTATGTGCGTAGAAGCATATTAAATAATTAACTCAATTGAAAATTATGAAAATAATTTGATCATGCCAATTTTGCAATAATTCAACTATTTTAAGATTTCGTTAACTAAAAGAGATTGATCATACAATTTTCAATTAACTAAAATAAGAATTGGAAACATTAAAATAAAGAACAATTATATCACAACCCTAGAATGAAAGAACTAGTAACACATGTTGCTAAAACCCATTAAACAAAGGAAAAGAATTGACTATAATTAGAAGAATCCTTCTCTGAGAGTTTGACCTCTAGCCTCTTATTGAACCTCAATAATGAATACAAGAGAGAAAAGAAAATATAGTTAAAACTAGAGAAAAATTAGAAATTAGATGCTTCACAATGTGTCTGGACATCCTTTCAATGGACAAGGTGTGCTTATTTAGCTAAGCACAACATGATTGTGCTTCACAACATAAGAAGGAGACATGAGTGTGCTTCAAGAGTAGAAGGACATGTTTGTTTGCATTTTGAAGGAAGCAAGGTCATGCATATTAATAAATACAACCATGCTTATCATGGTCGTGCATTTGGGTGTGCTTCAATTGAAGCACAGTTGTGCACAATTGTACATACCTTCATACTTCAATTTTGCTCCATTTTGTCCTTTAATTGAGCAAATTTCATTCTTTTTGTAATTTTTTTTTGTTTGTTGCGCGTTTAATAAAAAAAGTGAAGTATTGCGAAAATATTATCAATAAAATAAGGCAAAACATCAATGAATATCATATCAAAATGTAACATTTTGATGGTTTAATAGTTTTACATCAAATTTCAAATATTCAACCGATAAATTAAAAGTTTTTAATGCATATATTAAGTTTATTTTTTTTTTTAAATTAAAAAATTATATGATAATTCATTATTTAGATTAAAATCAATGTATAAAATATTTTTTATGATTATTTATCAATTTGAATTAATGAAAGTAAGTATCAAATAGTTTTCAAGTTTTTTTTACAAATTTGTAAATTGGATTTATTATGTATATTGAATTATGTGATATTATACTCAAGATTATGGATATATGAATATGTTTGGATACAAGTTAAAAGTGCTTTTGAGAACATCTTTACTAAAAATAAAGAGTATTTTCAAATAAGAGAAACTTTCAAAAGTACTTTTAGACCTATATCCAAACAAGTATTATATCAAATTTCACATGATTTAAATTTTTCTAGATAAGTTATTTAAAAATAGATATTTATACATATTTTAAATATTATATTATACATTGAAGAAAAAAAAATTATGTGATGAATTACTAAATAATTTTTAAACTTACATTTAATGTCGACCATTATATTTGATAGTATTATACTTATGATCATATATATCAAATTTTAAATGATTAAAATTCTTGTAGATATATATTTAATAATAGATACTTACATGTATTTTAAATATCATTTTATACGTAAAAATAAAGGAGATATAATTTAGACTTTTGTATGTGATTAGCATTATTATGGTCTTGCTTATATATATGTTCCGTACCAATTATTTTGAAGAGTTTCAATGTTTCAATGTGTCATTATACACAGATGGGACGACAATGATCTTGAAGAACTTCCTGAGTTCATGAGAATTTGCATCCAAGCACTTAAAGACGTCACAAATGAAATCGCTTACGAAATTGGTGGAGAAAATAACTTTCACTTGGTGTTGCCTTACCTAAAGAAAGTGGTACTTTTACTAATTATTATAACCCTGTTCTCTTTGTCTTTTCAAACTAAAATCAATGTAAAAATCATTTTAAAAAAAGGAATAAAATGAACCGATGGTTAACTTGGTTAACTAAAACTTCTCGTTTTAATTTTCCAGTGGATCAACTTTTGCAAAGCATTACACGTGGAAGCAAAGTGGTCCAATGAGGGATATATTCCATCGTTGCAAGAATATCTAAGCAATGCTTGGATTTCATCTTCGGGGCCAATAATTCTACTCCATTCATATTTTGCTACAATCAATCAAGTAAGGGGTGCAATGATAGACGATTTTCTACACACTAATGAAGATTTGATCTACAATGTATCTCTAGTAATTCGACTGTGCAATGATTTGGGGACCACAATGGTAATTTTTTTTGTCTCATATATGCATTTAATTTTGTTGTAAGTTATTTCCTTTGCATATAGAATATTGAGTGTTAATGTAGAATCAAATATGAAACAGGCTGAAAGAGAGAGAGGTGATAATGCTTCATCGATCGTGTGCTACATGCATGAGAGAGATGTTTCAGAGGAAAAAGCAAGAAAGCATATACAAGACATCATAAACAAAGCATGGACAAAGATAAATGGACATTGCTTCACTCGAGTGGAGCCATTTCTTACTCAAGCTATGAATGCAGCACGTGTGGCCCATGCCCTTTATCAAAATGGTGATGGGTTTGGTATCCAAGACCGAGATATCAAAACACATATTTTATCACTAGTTGTTGAATCCCTTTAGAACTTTATCACAATATACAATACTTTCCCTTTCGTTCTTGTGACAATAATGTAAACTAAATGCATACAATATTTGTTTCTTATACAAGTAAATAGACATTACATATTTATTGTAAGATTTTAATTTATACATTTTATCTTCCATATCACATTGTGAATAAACTGATACAAAATTCATTCAGCTTAACCATAGATCTCAAGTATGATTACTTTCAGTGGAGCATATTTGTAATATATATATATATATATAATATCACTATAAACATGTGACATTTATCATACAATTTATTTACTAATAATGTATAGTTTAGTCTAACAAATGATTTATGAACTACCATTTATCTATACAAGTAAAATTAATTGTATAATAATATTAAATATTATATATGATCAACTTTTTGTTATTAATATGAAAATTTTCAACAACAATAACATTTATATACAAATCCTCGTGCATTTAATCCAATCTCCACTGTTAAGCATATATGATCAGCATAAATATGATTAATTGTATTCATTAATATATTTTAGGTTTTTAATTAAGGGATCAACTTATTCTAAAATTAACTTTGGGTAGAATTATTTCACTTTATAACTCATAATCTCACCATTAAAATTTAAAGATTTAACTGTCAAATTAAAAGTTTTTATAGTATTGATGAACTCTACAATTTTTTACAAATTAGAAAATTATTTAAAATTTGTTCCATTAAATCAAATGGATGTATATTAATACAAACATATTATATGCTAATTTGAATTTATATGACAAAATATCATATATTTTTAATTTTTTATTAAAAATAATAAATTTGATCTATTTATTTAAAAAAATTAATTTAATAATTAAAATGTTGAAATTTATTGTAAATTATGAGTTATAAGTGAAGTAATTATAACTAGAGTTACTCTTAAAATAAGTAAATCTCTCCTCTTTAATTAAATGTAATACATGTTTATCAAATGTATGATTCATATGTAAAATATTAAAATTACATTATAAGTGATTAAGTAAATTATAGTATTTTAAACAATCAATATTAAAAGTAGATTAGTGATTTGAAAAGTGAGAGTAATATTAAAAGCAATAAAAATAATTGTACATAGTATATTAAAAATTATTCTTCATTAACAAACCAATTAAGAACATTATTCTTCTTTAATTTTTAATTTTAATTACATAAACACTACCTTTGCTTTCTATTTATAAATAATTGTATAAAATAATAAAAATTATTTTTAATCATTTTCATTATTCTTCTCGGGAATTTCAGTTTGTCTGTTGGATTTCTGTCACCCCAAACATATCTCCCATCCTCCAAGCTGATGTTATGAGTATTCAATTTCTGTGTTTAGTTTGTTTTTTCGTCGTTGTCTTTCCTCGTGTACCCAAAATATGAAATACTTACCACACTTTAAAGACTTCGGTGGGAGCCCTTGTCTTGAAACATTTTAGCCTTACCAGAGTTGTAAGGTTGAGCTTTGTTATATGGTTATGGTTTGCATAGAGAATCTCATATGGTCAAGAATCAAGATTTTGTACATTTGCCCATCCTCCAACTATACACAAAAGATTGTAATTGGAGTTGCCATCATATTATGACCTCACAACTTCTTGTACCAGAGGCCAAATTAATATTTGCCACTGACACCAACTATAAAATTGGGCCTGACAAGTGGTTAAGTTATTTATTTGTTGTACCTAACTGTACAAAGGAAAATGAGCAAGGCTACATTTGTCTACAAAGGAATCATGTTTAATCATGTGATGGCTGTTTCAAATACCTTTATATTGTGTATTGATGCATTGATGGCATCCTAGTAAGTAAAGGATAGATGTTTGGCTTATTTCCTCCATGTTGCTATTTATGGCTTTTGTCGTCTTTGTTGTAGCATACTTGCTGATATAATGGTACATGTTGAATTGGCTGTCTTTGGAGATAAATAAATACAGAAACATGTTATATAATATGAATTATGAGTGGAAATGAAAACAAAGTGTAAGCTGAAAGAAAGGTATATGATTGATTATGATTTATGAAGATATTTCTGTCACAGAATGAGCATAAGCCCACGTTCAAACTAAAAATGAGTACTTGATGATTCATCTTTTTCATAATCTTCAATGCACCATTGCAACCTACAAGATCCAACTCAATTAGTAGATTATTAAGCTCTTTAAGCATATTATGAAGAATTTGATTCCTATTCATTGAAAGATAAAACTCATTTCAATTACTTCTAACAATTAACTTCTTACTATCAGTTAGGGATATCTTTGGTGCAAACTAAATGAATACACCATTGTGTTCTCTAGATAGCTCTTCCAGTTCCTCATTGAGTTTTACCATCAAATATGGAATCTATCCAAAGCAGAATATCCACTGCAATCTCTACATTATTTGTGTAAATAAAATATCATTTGTATGAAATAATACTGCTCAAAATATAAAGAGAAATTACAGAATAATAATTTTCTTTTAAATAAGGTATAAGATTTTGAATTTTATATATGCCATAAAATTTTAAAATTTGGTGTCCCAGTAGAGCGTCCTTTGGCCTGAGAACTTTGATTCATGTTTCATACTTCTTCATACAGATATTCACCTCAGACCCATGAACAGTAAATGGAAACGAGGGAAATCTAGAAGTTTAAGCAGAGTTTATTGATAAAATTAGAACAAATACCTAATCAAAGTTCTGAATACAATATAGATTCCCATCTCAACAACAAATAATTTACGAATCACAGTTGGTGCTCTGATTCATATTGAAATTCACTTGACCTAAAAAATGGAAATGAGAACTGTCTTCAAAACTAACAGAGAACTGACTGATAGCATTAGAATAAGATTGCTAGCTCATAGTTCTGAACGCTACATAAATTCACATCTCAACAATCAGTAATTTAAGCTGAAGGATACCAGACTTTGAAATAGACATCCAAGTCAACAAGACAATGCTTCCCATTCAAGGGTTTCACCAGCAAACATGGGAACGATGTCTCCAAATGGAAACGATAGAAAATCAGGTACTTTCCAAGGAGCTTTCCTCAGTTTAATCTGTAACTTGTTTCTGGGGAGGCCATAGAAGTCAGGTCCATTAAAGCTTGTAAAAGCCTCCAGCTTATCAAGTGCACCAGCCTAAAATTGCAACAATTTCAAAAAACAAATTAAGATTAAACTCCAGACACTTTTAGAAGGATGCGTGCAAAATATGATATATGATAATTGTTAAATATGCATACAATTTTTATTAAATTTAGACAATTATTAAATATATCTTATGTTTCAAAACTTTGTTTTTGGCCACAAAAATACTTGGTCAAGAGTTAACTTTATTTTAGGATATAATTGTTTAATATTAGATATTTTTAATATTTTTTCTTTGTTGAGATTGACACACTCTGAGCGGGACGAATTCACTTAAAACATCCAATAGATCTTTTTGAGCGAGCTAAGTTAGAGACTACACCTGGGAGATTAAGCTAGCTTGCTTAAGCGAGTAGAGTGTGCTCACTCTGAGCAAGTGAAATTCACTTAGTGACCAGGACCTAGCTTAAAGCAAGTCATGTCAGAGAGAATCCCCTAGAGATGGTGCTAGCTCACTTAAAGAGATCATGTTGCTCACTTTGAGCGAGTGAAATAGCAACCACGAGTGCTTCGAGCAAATCATGTCAAAGACCCCTCTAGAAGGATCGAACAAGCTCGCTTAAGTGAGTTACATGAACACTCTAAGCAAGCGTACACAATAAAAAAACCCATTCAAAATGTTATAAATTAGGATTTTTAGGAGGTCTTTGTATTGTACTTTCTAATTGAATGATTAACCCCCTTCTGAAACCTACCCAAATGCACGTTAGCTAAATGAAGACATAAATACCAAGATTGGCATATTATATTACAAATAGTACAATGTAAGTGTTACCTCTTCAAAAACTTTGGCATATAGTGGCAGAGCAACCGGGGAGTTGTATATGCCAGCACATCCACAGGCACATTCCTTTTTAAGCCTATCATGTGGAGCACTATCAGTTCCAAGGAAAAATCGTTTACTTCCACTAGTGACAGCCGAAACAATAGCCTGTCCTAAATAAGAAACAAACAAAAGGAGTTCAAGGTAAGATGACCAAGACATTTACAGTTGGTAACAATTGTCAACATGATGATCCTTGTCCCTAGTGACATTTCCTCAACTTAGGAATTAATACAGTATATAGTCTGAAACCCTTAATGGTACTTTGTACTAGCACATTCTGCAGCTAAATTAAAATTTATAAAAGTATAAAGCTGTTTCTTCAAAGACAATTTAGTGCACTGCAAAACATAATTATCTTTTCCCATGCAAATCAAATTGTCAAAGATACATTTTAATCTCTGTAAATATTGAAATATGTAAAGCTAGAAATAAGGGATCTTCTTTGACTTTCTTTCTTTGTATCCTTAAATTAATTGTATTCTTCATTACTTGATTATAAATAAAGCCTAATGTGTGGGGGTAAGACACGAACTTTTTGTAAACCATATACAAATCAATCAAGAATCTAAGTAATTTACTGAAGACAGTGTAACACCAAAGAAAATTATATGAATAAACAAAAGTTACATACTATGGATCTCTCTTTTGAGCACTGGAAGACAGTAATTGTGAGGCTGTAAGCCACCTTGGAATAAAGCATTACGATTCAGAAGAAGATGCTGTGGCGTAACAGTTGCTGCTACGTAACCTTACAAATAAAGCAAATCATGAGAATAATTTTAAAACTAAATAGTACAAATACAATGATAAATTAGCTTTTCCATGTAATTTATTACATTACCTTCTTTGCAAGACTCTACAAATTTAACAGCATCTGCAGTAGTAATATGCTCCATCACAACCTTCAGCTGTGGAAGCCTTTGAACTAAAGGCTCTAAAATTGTTTCAATAAAGACCTTTTCCCGATCAAAAATATCAACGGTTGAATTTGTAACCTCTCCATGAACCTGACATGTATAGTAATTCACAGATAAGAAAGTATAATGCAAACTTCTAAGTTTTACATATTAAACAAAGGATAGACATAAAGAAGGAAACATGCCACTAGGCAGCACTTGACTGCCACAAGCACCAGTCAGCTCATAATTAAGTGTTGAAGTGTTAGTAGATGTTTTCATAGTGAACATGCTCCAAAATTGTTGTCCAACATTGTACGAGCATTTTATTAAATGGCATAAAATAATTCATGAAAATGTGACTATCAGAACTGATTTGAATTAAGAAGGCAAGCATGGCAGCAAATACATTCTTATGCATCAGTATAAGAACATTAAACTTAGACACACACATGCGGGCACAAAATTTTGGGTGGGGAGAGAAAACATAAAGAAATAAACAAAACTAAAACCACAAATAGAAATAAAAACAAATAAGTTACCAGTAATGGTAAATTTTGCTCAGCCATCTCCTCAAGAACAGGAAGACAATTTCCGAAAAGATCTGTAACACCATCTTGGGAGTTTGTTGTAGCACCGGCAGGATACAACTTCACACCATAAACAAGTCCACTTTTTTCTGTCAATGCAAGTAGCATAATCAAGTAGTGTACTATGATTAATAGAGGGGGTGGGGGGAAATAAGCCAGATGAGCACGGAGGGTGTAACTGTAATCTGACCAAATGACAAATGAACATTGACTGTCATGGCCTCATGTGCCATGGGAAAGACATTTCTTAAAGGCTGATGATTAAAAGGTAAAATAAGATAACAGAAACTTCATTTTAACCAGATTCAGAACAAAACTTGCATCTATAAAAATAGACAGAAATTAAACTTACTGGTACAGTTAAAAATTTAATAACTTTTCTCTCTTCATATTTCATAGGTACTATTTTTAAAATTTGTGCACCCCATTGATTAGACTCACTTGCAAGTTTAATCTCATCAGGAGTAGTCATGTCTGTGAGGTAAAGTGTCATGAGAGGAGTGAAGTTGCTATCTTTAGGTATTGCTTTCAAAATGGACTCTCGATAAGTGATAGCAGCAGCCGTGGAAGTGATGGGTGGTTTCAAATTTGGCATCACTATAGCCCTTCCAAAATGCTTTGCACTGTGAGATCAATAATTATGAATCAGAACTCTCCTGAATTTAAGTAGGAATGCAATAAACAAAATGGACGCCAAACTATACAAAGATGCAATGTGCAAGCCTTTCTCACATTGGCCTCACAAAAGATTAGGAAATAGTAGAGTATCAACAATAACAATAATCTTATCCCACTATGTGAAGTCAGCTACATGGATCACAATGCCATTAGGTTCAGTTATAAACCAAATTTTTAAGGATATTATTCACCATGCAATCCCTCCTAATAATTTCCTACAATTTCTTTATTGGTCTCCCTCCACCCCTCTTCATGGGGCTAAAAGTTATGCAATCTACTCTCTCCTCACCAATGCCTCTAGTGGCCTTTGCATGTGTCCAAACTGCCCACGGCCCACCCGACAACACAACACCTGCAACATGTAAGACGGTTGAGATCGCATTTATAGCAGACTCCACAACATGAATGTGTCGTGATTCCATTTCTGCTGGAATCTGCAATGTGACAGCATTATAGCTTCATGATAGCCACCATTTGATAACATTGCTTGTATCTTGTGTGTGAAAGCAATAATTTTGCTATCATTTTGTAATATTGATCCTAGATATAAACTTAGAAACTTGTGATATGACATCTCTAATTTTTCTTCTTATTTCTTACTAAAATTGCAATGCATAACTCCTAAAATAGAAGAGAATCACTGAGTTTTTTTTTTTATTGCAAGTAAAATGACCTCTGAGGGAGGACAGCTTCAAGAAGGGAACCATCACGGAGGTGAAGATGCCAATCATCAGGCTGTGTAATAGTGAGCTCCATCCTTATGCTGATCAACCTTTTTTATTAGAACCTTAAGACCTATAACAGAAGGTTAACAAAACAAAATAAGCACCAGAATCAGTGAGAGAGAGCAAGAGGTGACAAATGATCTCACCCTCCAGATAAGGGGAGTCATGATATACTATATTATAGTCCAACCCAATATATTTCAAAACCTTCAGGTTGGCTTTCTCAATTTCCTTAAATTATTTTGGACAAAACAAACTAAACCAGACAACCTCAAATAAATCCAGATTAATTCAGTTCGGGTTATCAAATTCTCTACAACATTTAAAATAAAGAATGAGACCCAAAAGAAACTCAAACAACATTCATAACATGGAAAATTAAGGGTAACAACAGCAAATAGTCAAATAAATCCTGTATGGTTGTAAAAAAACAGCCAAATACATGGTGCAAAGCTGTAATAATAAAGTGCTCATCAAATCCATTACTTAAAAATTGATAATCTCTCTTATTGGTTCAATAACCCACGAGATTGTTTGAACATATGATAAATGGAAAGAGTTTTGAGAGGACTTGGCAACGAAGGAAATACAAAGGAAGGATGTGAGAATACATTTTGGCGGGATTTTTGTGGTGGGGTTGCGAAACTGTGAAAAAGTGAAGGGGGCATCATGCTGAGAAGGAGGGATACAGCCATTTGGTATTGCGGGACTTTTGAATTGGTTTTGGGCAAATTCGCAAATTGCTTATACATGTTGTAGGACTCGCATTAAATAGAGGAGGGGCAAGCTACAGTAAACAAACCTGCAGATGATTAATGACTATGGATGCATTATTTTCTTTTGAACGTGCCATATTTATCAATTTTAATGCTTTTTGGTGAATAAGATTTGTTCAATGTGTATTGTCTCTTGGATACATCATGTGTTCAAGCTAAATGATATTAATGAAATTTGTTTTTTGTCTTTCAAAAGTCTCATTAATACGTGACAACTGTAGAAATGGAGAAATGCCCAGATTACACAATCACAAGAAAACCTGCATGTATTAATAAAAAAAATACCAAGAAAATAACCAACATAAGTAATTTCAAAACTCAAATTCTTCCTAAAATAAACTGTAGATACAATAACGCAACAGATACAATGCAACACACTTATATAACAAACAAGTATATGGTGCTCAGAGAAGATCACACACACAAACTATGATTCTTTATCATGAAATTTTCCATCAGCTTAACTGACTCAACTTGGGGTCAGTGTTTGGTAATGGTATATATGTCCATGATGACCAATATTTTAGACAGTACTGGGTGATTTAAAATTAGAACCAAATAAGGCACATAAGATAATCTGGCTAACTTCTGAAATCTAATTATAAGGTTCATATGTTGGTGTCTTTAAATTTAAGTATGTAAACTTTATGATGTAGTTGGGTGGCAATTGACAACTTGATCATTTGATGTATTGGTTTATTGCTGAAGTAGTTAATTTCAGGAAACAAATTTAGCTGTAATGTATAGTAACTATTGGATTTTCCCTCTGATATGCTGTATCTGTCATACATACAATTTTCAGCATTTGATAATGGTCTAAAACTTCCATTTTCTTGCTTATAGTGGGAGGTAAGTTCCCCGAAAGTGCACTAAAAGAGGAGCAGGTTCAGACATACCAGGAAGATGAAAGGCAACGCATGCATAGGACTCTGGATGAATATCTCCGTATCTGTCTACAGATAGGGGTAACTATTGCAATTCTATATGAATATGTATTTAGAAATTTATTTAATTTTGCACTAATAACTTTCTGATACATGTGCAGTGCGGGCAGAGAAACTGCAAATTGAAATGGATAGCATTGAAAAAGGAATTTTAGAACTTGGCTCCCAGCATGGCATCCGAAAGCTTGTTATGGGGGCAGCATCTGATAAGTTCTATAATAGGTAAGAAGCCAAAAGTTCTATAATAGGTAAGAAGCCAAATACCCCCGGGTCCCAAACCACATTATTGTTTACAGAAAATTTGATGATGAAATTGTAAAAAGTATTGAAGATGGTATATTAGTATTTCGTGAGGAATAAGATAAATAAATTGCTATATATCCGTGGATGACCACAGTGGCGAAACTTCTGAGCAAAGCATGATATAGCTTTTCTGTTTTCGATTACTAGTTCAGTGACTTTCTAAGCTCTGGAGCTGAATCTATATCTCTCCACTATGATTCTATTGTTTGCAAGGGTTGCATGCATGGAGCAATCATATGACTCACATATTCCTTTCCAATCCATATCCACATCCTCGCACAGAGAATATCACACTCTACAAATGTTACGCTGTCTGGGAATCATTTTAGATTTGCAATGAAAAAACCAAAAATGTGTTCTCAATTAGGTTTGCAAATTCAAAACGAAGAATAAAAAATCCACTTATTCTAAGAATATTTTCAGGCAAAACGCTCTCGTGATTTCAAACAAAAACATAGACTGAGAATATAAGGAAGAAAAAAAAAACGCGAGATTCACACGACAGAGAAATTGCGGAACAGAGAACGCGTGCGCTTAATCTGATAGAGTTTGGAGAGTGAGAATCAGTGAAGGTGAGTTACTCGTAAAGTGATGCGATCGTTGACACGAGAAGGAAGACTTCACTTCACTTCCGATGCAGGTTTTCTGAATATTTTGTCGTAACCTTCTTTGAATTTTCGGATTTTTTCTTGTTCAGTCGCGAGCACACGGAACCCAGCCACCAGCCACCGCCGGCTTCGTCACCACTCACCGCTCTCAGACTCGCTCACACCAAGTGATGGTCACTTGCTGTGCTAATCCTACGGTCCAAACGCAAGAGATCCTGTTCCCCACTAGATCCTGGTTTTGGGCTTTAGAAAGAATAAAAAAAAAGCCCAACCCGTTAAAACATATATTATCTATAACTCGTGCAGTCGTGTTGTGCGTGGCGTATTAATTAATGATTATATTCTTTAGGGAGAGATTAGAGTTACTTTGCTGAATAATTCAGAATATACATTGAATTTCAAAGTATATATTGAATTTCAACTATTAAATTAAATTAATCAAATTTATAAAATTTTACATTACATCAATTTAATTTAATGGTTATTTAATAAGATGAGGATTGAATTTAAATCTTCATCTTTCTATTTTTACTCCTTCTCTCAATGAGGAGGCTTATTTAAGTAATTTTATATTATATATTAATTTGAATATATGTATATATATATATATAGGAATTGACTCAAGTGAAAATACTTGTTAAAATGAGAATATGATAATAACTGATAATGATCCTTAAATTAAAATAAATGGCTTAAATTAAAAGATGTTATTATGTACTGTTATCATCCTAATTTTTTTTGTTATTGTTGTCCTTGTCCTTGTTATTGGAACTCTCACAATCACCACTTCCATCACATCTCTACTACATCACCACCAAGGGATTTTAGGTGAATTAAAATAAATGGCTTAAGTAATTTTTTTGTTATTGAATTTTAGGTGATTTTGGGTGAAACTTAGTTATGCATAAGTGCATAACTAATGTTGCGCTGAGCGTGCCTTCATAGCGTTGGGCATGATTTCAACCAAGGGATTTTGTCTTGTTCTTGCCAGCATGAAAAAAGAGAATTATCTCAAATTGAAATCATGTCAAACGTGGTTTGAATGATGTCAAGCGTAAGGAGATAAAATCGTCTTTGCCTTAATCCATGTCACACCAATGGAGTGACGTCGGACAAAAGGCAGGTGAAGACCTTTTGCCTGATTGGGGTCGAGCGTGGGCTTTTACCATGCTAGGTGCGAAAGGATGGGAAACTCTCTACCTCAACCACACCAGACAATGGTAATTTGGCGTTGGGCATAAACGAGATAGAGAGCCCTTTATCTTAATGGCGTCGAGTGTCTTGTGAGTGGCCCTAGGCTCGAGTTGCATGATAAAAACTTATTATTGTTTTAAGTTGTTTTATAGTTGAATGATGATGAATAGGTTGTGTGGATGATGATGTATGATGATGAATCTATATAGTGTAAGTTGATACATGATTAATGATGTTTATGTTGTTAAGTTGTGAAATGATAGATGATTGAGTTGTAAAGTTGTGTGTTGTTTTGAGTTGCTTAAGTTGTTAAAATGTTAAGCATATGGTGAAGATACATGTCTTTGTTGAGATGCATAAAAACTAGAAAAGAATTAAAAGTTATTTTAGAAATTAAAATATCTCATTATATGGATATACGTTGCGGTGCTCCAAGAACCCAGTTGAAATCCTTTAGTAAGTACACTAACTTTTGAATGAGTATTTATTTTAAATTATTTCTCTATGTTATATGTGGTATCTTGTATGTGGACAAGATTGAGACATGCGTGTATAAAATGGCCAACTGAGTAAATTACAAAGTTGAGGACTTAGTACCTAACTGAATATTAAAAGGGCATAATATTTGAAAGGTAGTCGGTAGGTTAATTTCATAGGTAGCTTAATGTTAAAAACTAATGTCGTGGTAGGTTTATATCCAAGTCATTCAACCTTAACACAAAATAATGATGTTATTTCAAGACTTTTCTTTAAAAAGGTTGTTAGGTTGCATGGTCTACCTAAGACACTAGTGTTTGATAGAGATACCAAGTTCCTTAGTCATTTCTTGAGATCTCTTTGGGAAAGGCTAGGAACTAGTTTTCTCTACTACTTATCACTCACAAATTGATGGAAAAAGAAAAGTAGTAAATATATCTCTATCCACTTTGTTGAGGGCAATTCTTAAAGGCAACCAAACAATCTCCTTTTGAAGTTGCATATGATTTTAATTCTTTCACTCCTTTAGATTTAATACCTCTCCCTTATACTACTTATTTTTTACATAAAGATGGAGTGTCTAGGGAAAATTTTGTTAAACAATTACATGAGAGGATTAAACATCAAATAGAACAACAAATCGAAAAGTATGTTAAATACAAAAACAAAGGGAGCAAAGAGATAACCTCTTAATTAAGAAGGGGATTGAGTTTGACTTCATTTACAAAAAGATAGATTTCCAATTCAAAGGAAGTCCAAACTCAATCATAGAGGAAATGACCCCATTCAAGTCCTAAAAAGAATTAATAATAATGCATATAGGTTATATCTTCTTGATGATTATGGAGTTAACACTACATTTAATGTTTGTGATTTAACTCTTTTGTAGGTGATGATATAGAATAGGAGCCTATAGATTTGATGACAAATCCTTTTGAAGAGGGAGGAAATGATAATTAGTGTCTTTCACAAGGCAATGTCAATGAGGATGCAAGAGGAATGGACTCATAGTGAAGGTAGAATGTTAAGCTTTTTTTTTTTTAGCTATAGGCTTGTTACTTCATTCATTTTTTATTTGTGTATATTTTTTCTTGTAAATTTTTTTCTTTATTTTGACCTTGTTTTGAGTCAAGTAGTATAAGAATTATTGTCCTTGCATTTTTATTTTAAGAGTGTAAATAATAGTTTAGAATGGGTGCAACTAATAAAGGTTTGTTGCACATATTGGGCTTGAAATGCCCAAAAACACCCCACCTCACTCCATATGGGACGTCCATCTGCACAACATACATGGTTTGTTGAATGTCTAACATGGAGGGAACAAGGTGTTCCTAGACCATTCAAGGAGCCACCATGTCACAAGATCTTATCTAGTCACACTAAATACACCTTACCATATTCATACGACAACCTCTCATTGACTCTTCCAGATGTAGGATGGTGACATGAGTCACATTTTCCTTGTCTTACCACATGATAGGCTTTTGTTGGTTGTTCTAAATCTAAGATTGTGACATAAATGGGAGGAAAATTCAAAATTTGAAATGTAATTAGGATTAATAGTATTGAGTTTAAATTAATTTAACTTGGGTTAGCTTAATTTGCACTTCAAGCTATCAAACCCTATATATACATGTAGCTTAACTTAGGTGTGTACTTTGGATTATTTTGTGGAAAATACAATTGAATTTTCTCTTTTGAAAATCTAATTCTCTCTTCGGAAGACACTTCTTCTTATGAATTTTTATCAGAAAATTCCTCCTTATAACAAGTTCTTCAATTCTTGCTCATCTTCTTTTTAGAAGTGGCACATCTCATCTTTTGTCTCCAACATTGTTTTTTGTGTTTTGAAGTTTTTGGGTCTATGAAAGAAGATAGGGAGTTACATAGAAGCTAGTCGAAGAGAATTCATCAAGTTTCTCCAAACTAGTTTTATCAACTACAAAATCAAGAGAATCATTGAATATGATATGAGATTTATCAAATTTTATATTTTCTAATAAATTTTAACTAATTAAAAAATATGTTAAAAAGTGTGTTGTTAACAGTTCTATATATATATATGTATATATATATATTCCTATTCTTCTTATTTACCAACCATTGCATGGATAAAAAAAATTTCAATCTTTATCTTTCTCTTTGTTCTATAGAAACAATTGTCCTTAACTCTTTATATAGCACTAGAAAGTCCTTAAAGATCCAATTCTTCAAATTACAAATATCACCCTTAGCTAAACTTGACAATTAGTGTTGGACCCTTCCAAAATCACATTAATTACATGTTTTGTTTGTATAATTTTTTGTGTTCATCTTTTTCAATACAGAGAAACAACACTTTATTTTGTCTCTTTAGTAGCTCAAATTAAATATATATATATATATATATATATATATATATATATATATAATTAAAATTCATAATAACTATTTTTAATATATAAATTATATTGTTAAAAATTCAAAAAATAGTTATGATCATACTTTCTTTCTATTCTAATCTTGCAAGTCAACATTGATTTTCGTACTTTAGAGTTTTGTTTAAGTATATACTTTTGCTTATTTTATGTTTATAATTTTTTATAAAAAATTCAAAAAATATATTTAAATTTAAAATTAATTTAAAATAAAATTATAAAGTATATTAATTAAATAAAAATGAAAATATTTTTAATTTTCACTTTGATTATTTAAATAAAATTAAAATGTTAACTCTTCACTTTAACAATATTATTCACACAAAATTATATTTCATTATATTTAAGGATTTATAATATATATTTAATGTTCCCTTTAAAAAATAATATTTAATGTTTTTTTACCGATTTTAATCGTTAATTATATTATACAAATTGTATTTTATATTAGACTCGTGGAATGTACAAAATAAAAGATTAATCATATTTTAAATTTAAATAAATATTTTATATTATAATACACAATTTTAAATAATTACTAATTTATTTTAAAATATCATAATCTAATTTAAAAATATAATAAATAAAAATTTGAAATTAGTAGATAAAAAGTTAAAAATTCATAAAACTCCCTCACTAATCATTGCATAGAACTTCCTGAAAAGGACAAGTTGTTAAATAGTTTTGTTTTGTAGAAGAAAAATTCTAAAACCATTTTTATTATTAAAAAAAAAAAAACTCAGAAAAACATTGTAGGGCAGTGTAAGTGTATTATTCATAAGCAAAATCGATCCAATTTGATTCCACTGAAAACGTCATTGTCCCAATTCTCAAGTTCGTTTTTTTTCCCCATTTTCCGATTCTGCAATGCAAAGGGTGTCTCCAATTGGGAGAACCATAGCCTCTATGGCTCGAAACTTGTGTGACTCTTCCGCACGCTCTTTCTCTGCGGTTCCAGCTGTAGCCGCCACAGTCAAGAAACTGCATCAACAGGAGATTCCTGGTGATTTCCTGAAATGGGGTTCGATTGGATTCTGCAGGACATCGAGGTTTGCCACCGGGTTCAACCCTCTTCAACCGAAACCGTTGGATTCTATTGTAGATGTCCACAGACTCAAGGATCGGTACCCTGAAGATATTGCTTCTGTTTGGGATGATGTAATGTCTCACTTATTCTACTCTTCATTACTTGTTATTTAATTTTGCTTTTGAGAGTTTTTCTAAATTGTTTTGGATAAAGAAGCTCTCAAAAATTTTGGTTTTACTCTTTTCATGTATATAATTTTATGAACTGAATTTTACTTTTTAGAAATGGTATTATAAGGACTTTAGTGAAACCATTTTAATTTAGGGATTATGAGGTAAAGTTTAGGAAACTATAGAGATTATAGATAATTAAATCATAGTTTTTCTAAACTAGTGTCGGAACAGGTTTTGTCATTTTAATTTGTTTGACTTTTGGACTCTGTGTGATGCTGGCTGGAAGAGTATAATATATAGATGAAAATGAATTGAGCTTCTTTCTTAACTCTAATAGATGCTCTCCCATCTATCTTCTCCAAAACTTGTGGTAATAAGTTGTTTTTAATTCATGGGAGAAAGAGAAACTTAATTTATTTTACTTTTTTTATTTCTTCTCCTGGAAGGACTTATGGATAGAGAAGTTTATCTTACAAGACATATAGTATTGGCTTACATTAAGAGAAGGATCAGAGTAGTCTCAACATGTTTTTTGTGTGTCTTTGTCGCTTGGTTTTGTTAGACTTGTTTAAATTTTGGAGAACGAAAGACAAAATTCGAAGATAAGTTGGATATAAGCTCCGGGAAGAATGGAACAGGAAACAACAAATGAAAATTTGGACAATTAGTTGATCATTGAGAAACAAGAGACTTCTCTTCTGTGTGGTTAGTATGGTATAGGAAAAATGTCCATGATCATGTAGCAGTATGATGATGATCTTTGTAGTGGCAATTGAGTTCTTCTTGGATGTGGGTCTCTAGGATTTTGAGATTTTCCTTGTGAACCTGACTTTAATTTTGTTATCATGTTGGATTATATATTTGCAGCAGCTTCTTTGTTGTGACAATTTTTATTTTCGTTATTGATGGAATGCTGATGCAACTTATGAAAATGCTGTCAGGCTGTTTTGCAATTATAGGCCGAACAAATATTGAGTTCAATAGATATGCACTATTGTCCTATTTCTGTCAACGAATTAGAAATCATGGTTGGATTGACTATAAAAGTCAAGAATTTAACAAGCATATTAAGAATGGATGGCACCTTTACATTGTCAATGCATGTGTTATTTATTTATAAATATTACTGTTTTTGTATTTTAAAATGTATTGACTGATTTTATTTCAGTATCACATAGGAAGAGGTCATATCGGAGCATCTATGAAAGCAAAACTTTATCACTTACTGGAGCATAGAGCTTCAGAATGGTATTCATTCTGATTATTATTGATATTATGAATTTGTGTTATTTTAGATTTGATGTTCTCAACTTTCTTTATCCATGGCAGCCGATATTTTGTCATTCCTTTGTGGAGGGGAAGTGGATACACAACAATGTTTGTTCAAGGTTTGACAAAAGTTACTCTTATTTATTTGTAAAAATAATTATTTTGAATTAACAATGTTACACCTGATTGCTGATTTGTATTTGGGAAAGACCGAAAGAGGAATGTTTTGTCCCCCATTTTATATAGGTATTATTTAGATATTATCTATGACTTGGATGACTGATGTGAAAAAGGAAAAGAAAAAGAAAAAAGGTCATCCTAAGAAATTGTTGACATTGTAGGATTAGATGGATAAGGGGAAGGACAGAGAAAGATTGACTACAAGTATAATTTATGAAAGATAGTCTGAATAATTGTGATAAGTAACACTGAACTGACACTCTCATTTATACTAATAAAATAATAATCTAGGTCTAATACTCGTGCAACTAGTACATACCCAACTTAATTCCACTCACAGTGTACTGCATGATATAGCATAAGGCAATAACACTATTTAGCAATATTAACTTATGCATAGGCAGGTATTTCTTATCAATGAATAGAGATATCAGATATTTGTACATCCAGGTAAGATAGGGATTTTCTCTTCTTCCTGATATTAATATCTGCAGACTGCCGTCAAAGATATTGTTACGTGTCCACATATATCCATGGACTCTATTGTAACCCACATAACAAATAAGGATATCCTAATTGGCAATTAGCAAATTGAAATGGTAAGCATGTACAATACACTGCAAAACATGACAAAAGTGAGGCATTAATAAGCATACACAATCATATTTTGGTGACTATTTTGATCCTTTGTGAAAGAGAAGATTTACCTAGACATGCAATTTCACAAAATCCTGTCTTGTAGCTAATTCATGTATTTCTCAGGTCTGGAGAAAGAGATGTGGTTGCAGTTACACACACACCCACATATATATATATATAAAGATGTTAATAATTTGCCTCTATATTCATGGACAATTTCTATTACTATTGACAACCTTTGAATACACCTTACCTATCTGTAAATCAAATTCCAATCTCTGCTTGAAAAAGACTATGGCCGTGCCACGAAAAGCATTTTGAGATAAAACTAAACTTAGAATACATTGAAATCTTATGTTTTGTGCAGTTTGGAAGAAAATAAATGTATTAGAAGAAATTTCTTTCTATGTTATTTTTAATAGTTGATAAGATAATTGTTCTCTACCTCCTGTTTTTCTTTTATGGTCGGTTTATGTCCCCATTTTTATTTTGAGATATTATTTCTATTGGCAGCTTCAGCATCAAAAACTACTTCCCAGAAACTATAATTTTTATTGCATTAAGATCTGTCTCAGTCTGGTTGAAATCTTGTCCACAGATAGGTGTTGGAGAATGTTTTCAGTTGTCCTCCAACGACTACATCCTTATATCTTCATGCAATAGCAATACTAATAGACTGTCAAGTGTCAGCAGTGATTTTTTTATATATGTATCATTTTTTAATTGTTTAAATCACTTGTAGTTTTTAACATTTTATATAACTTCCGACATAATGATGTCAAGTTTTAGAAATTTAAATTTATGTTGAAGCAGACAGAAATAGATTATAAATTTATGTTAATGGTGGATCTCCTTGAGGTTTGGAGGGGTGTTTGTGGGTGGGATACAGAGAGAAAGATTTCAAGAATGATTCTTCCTCTTAACAAACATTTTACTTACAAAAATTAGAATATTATAAAGTTGTAACAAATAATTTATTACTGAGTTTTTTTTTCCAACACTTATTCATTGTTGTCTCACATACACTTATCCATTATTCCTTGCAGTCCAGACACCACACATGCTTTTTACAGGTCTTGAAGATTACAAGGCCAGGGGAACACAAGCATCTCCCTACTTTACTGTGTCCTATTACACAGAATTTGCAGAGAGCAAGGACTTGGTTCTGATCCGAGGGGATGTTGTATTTACCAGTAAGCTTACTGACGCAGAGGCAAAATGGCTTTTGGAAACTGCTCAGTCTTTTTATTTGAATGATGCAAGGTACAAACTGGTTGAGAGGTTCAACAGAGAAACACGTGATTTTGAGTTCAAAGATGTCTTGCAAGTATTGGACATGCCTATTTTATAACCTTTTATTAAGTAAAAAACTGCAAAAGTGAAAGGGTTGATTTGATGAAGGATGAAGTTGCTAATGAATGAAGGAAGAAGAGTATGAGAGAATGTCATGGGATTTCAAGAAATGAGTTTTTTTTTTTTTTTTTTTTTTTAATCATTTGTAATCATATTCTTTTGTATAAGGCAATAGATCTTGGACTGAACTTCCTATTATATTATAGTCTAGGTCTAGTCTTTGGTTTTTCTTTCGTGCTGATTCAATAAAGAGATTTTGGATGCTAAGGCACTTTACTTGAAGTTTAAAATTGATTTAAGCTTTGATGGAACTACTTGGAGAAGGTTGATATTCTTCAAGTATTCCATGCAAGGACCGTGAGTTCTCTTGAGGTCACCTTCAATGACACTTGAAGCTGCACGAAGTATTATTCATGGAGTAGAAGTCTTGAAGAGATTCGGTTCTCCTTAGCTTGTGTAGGAAGTTTGAGGAACCAAGCAAAGGTTGAAAACTAGAGCTGTCAAAACAGGTAACCCGGCCTGGCCCGGCCCACTACGGGTTGAGCCTTTGGTGGGCCAACCCAACTCGGCTCATTTATTGGTGAGCTGAAAAAAGTTGAGCCCGACCCGGCCCACCACGGGTTGGTGGGCTAAACGGGTTGGCTCACCTAATTTGAAAACTTAAGTTTGATAACTTACTGGATAAAGCTCTCTCACTTCAGCCCAAATAACACGAGTCAAACCTCGAAAAAAAAACATCAAGTGAAGTGAGTGGTCTTGTTGGAAAAATAAAATGAGGAAGTCCCATCTATTAAATTATGCCTGTGGTATGGTTATGAAAAATAATACATATGATTTATTAATTTATTTTAATTTTAATAAAAAATAATTTTTTAATTCTTTAATTAGTATTTTTAAATAACTGAAGATAAGCTTTCATCAAGAGTTGGAGCTATCGTGAATAAATAACGAATTGAAATAATAATTAGTATTTTGGGAATGTCAAAAACAGTCTACAAGATGTTTGGCGCAGGAAAAAAAAGTAATAAAAACATAATCTGAGAGTTCTCAAACAAGCGTGGTGTAAATTGAAATTGAAAAGCGTGAAAAGAAACTTAAGAAACCCTTACTTTATTTGGCCCAATAACATAAGGTTTTTTTTTTTTATGGGTTGGTGGGTTAGCCCGACTCACCACGGGTTTAACCCGGGTGAGGCGGGTTGTTAGTGAGCCGGGTTTAAAATTGGCCCACACTGAAATTTTTAATTTTTTTTTAGCCCAACCCGGCTCGAACCCATGGTGGGCCTGGTTGGCTCACCGGGCTGAGTCCATTTTGACAGCTCTATTGAAAACCTTTGGTGAGAAACCTAAGAGAGATAGTTCTCTACAGTTTTGAGGAGAGACTTTTGGAGGGTGTGTACATACTAAAATATTAGTTAAAAATTCATTAAAAAAATCAAATTCTATAATTAAAGTGATGGAAAATTGAAGTAATATGTAAATGGTCATACGTTTGAATCTCAATACCGTCATTATAATTTTAATGTATAAAAAAATCTATACTTTTAAAACGAATTCCAAATACATGATAATTAATTTATAAATTAGTTTACTTCGAATTGAATTTATTTCTTGGGACTAAAGCCTTATAGTCATTCTCATTATCTTTTTTATTTTTCTATTCAATAAAATATTACTGTGAGACCCCGTACGGATTTTCTTTCCCCAACTCTCTTCCTCTCTCATTTCTCTTATCTCTCTCAATCTTCACCCTTTTCACTTGGACCTTCCTTTTGGCTGCTACTAGGTGGTGGAACTGAGTGAAGTGGGTTGCTAGCTGGTGTTGAAGTTCTCTATTCACCTTTCTCGTGTTCAAGCTTCCTTCATTTTCTCCTTGGGTTCTCCCCGAAGCTCGGATTTCTTCGTACCGAGGTAAGGGAAGTTAGTATTTTACTGCGTTTTTGCCTGGAAAACGAATTTAGGAACTCATTTGGCTGCTGGTGATTGATTGTGTATGGCTGAGCTTGCTGAAAATTGGGGTTTTGGGGTTTTGTGGTTTGGAGTCAAAATTTGGGGTTTTCTTTGATTTGTTGTTGCATGCACATAAAGCTGGTACTTTCGAATTCCTTGATGAAAATGTGACACTTTGAACCGTTTTCATGTGGATTTTCTGTGAAGTTTTGCAGGTTTTGGAAATTTTTCGAACTTGGGGGAGTTACTGATGAGTTCGCGCTGGGCGCTGTTCTTCGCGCCAGGCGCGCGACCACCAGGAGACTCTGTTTAGGCAAGCCCGCCGGGCGCAAGGCTGTGTGCGCCGGGCGAGCTTGCAAATGGGAGTCTCTAGTTGGCCCGCGCCGGGCGTGACTTGGGTTGCGTCGGACGCGATATCAATGGTGACATGTTTTGGGTACTCTGGTGCCGCGCTAGGCCCGCGTTTGGACTCGCTGGGCGCGGAGGCTCCTTGGGAGTCTCTGCCAAGAGGGCGTTGGGCGCAATGCGAATTACGCCGGGCGCGAGACCTTGGTAGGTCTCTGCCTTCCCCACGCTGGGCGCGGGTTAGGCCACGCTGAGCGCACGAGACTCTACCAAAAAACATAACGATTCGG